CACACACACACACACACACACACACACACCTTCTCCCCCTCAATCGGTACTCAGTGCCACAGCCACGTGGTCCAGATGAGCTCCCCTTCGAGGCACAGCCCCAGGAGCCTGAGCTCGACGGCCGCCCTGAGCCGCCAGTAGGTGCACAGGCTGGGCTCGGTGCAGAACACGGCGGCCACGTCGAAGGACACGAAGAAGGCCGGCCCAGCCATCTCGCTCACGAAGGCGACGCGCCTAGAGGGCATGCCGACGGAGGGCTCGCCCGCGGCCTCGCTGGCCTCGGCGTCGACGGGCATGCGGGCGCGCCGCCTTGCGTCCGCGCGGCGCGACGGGCGACGGACAGGCCCGGGGGCGCACCTTGAGGTGCAGCACGAGCAGCAGGAGCACGAGCCACGAGCCCGCCTCCACCGAGCCCAGCCAGCCCCACCAGCACCACGAGGCGACGGCGTGCAGCGCGACCAGGACCGACGCGCCACCCATGCACCTGGCCGTGATCACGGCGGCTGGCGGTCTAGACGTCGCACCGGCGGCGGGGCTGGCGGGGCCTGGACCGGGCCTGGACCGGGCCGCCGACCCCCCCAGCGCGTGCGACCCCCTGCCCGCGCGCGCAGCCCGCGCAGCCCGCAACCCCAACCCGCGCAGCCCCCAACCCCAACCTGCGCGCAGCCCGCGCAGCCCCCAACCCCAACCCGCTCGCCCGATCGATCAAAACGCGCGCACGCCCGCTATTCCGCTCGACGCAAAACCGCGCCGCGGCTCTAGGCGGGGCGAGCAGCGTGGCGATGGCGGCGGCAACCTGTGGCGGCGCCGCTTACTGGCGCAGCCCTGGAGGACCTGCACGTGCACGCCGGCCACGTGACGCATGGCCCTACCCGCCCCGCGCTCGCGACCGTCTTTTCCTCTTGTGAAGTGTTTTCCAGGAGGTTTTGTCAGGAGGTTTTCCCAGATTTCTCCAGGTGGTCCCTTTAGGAGATTTCTCCAGATTTCCACAGGTTTCTCCTGTAGGTTCCTCCGGTAGGTTTCTCCAGGAGGTTTATCCGGGGTATTCCTCCCGGGGGTTTCTCCAGAAGGTCACTTCATGCCGTTTATCCAGGTGGTTCCTCCGGGAACATTTTATCCCGTGACCCTAACCTACTAGGAGTCCCAACGCCCAGCGGGGATCAAACTCGCAAACGACGAAACGTGCGCCTTCCACGACTTGGCAGGAACATCCCGAGAACTACGGAGGCAGTTGCAGTCTGTCAACCTGTCTCTGTCTGGACGGGATTCTTTCGTGGGTAGGTGGGCCAGACCCCGACGCGAGCGTGGGCACAAGGCGTATGGCTCGCTGCTCGTGTTGTGTTGTGCGTCTAGAAAGTTACTCCCCCCCCCCTCTCCTCCCTTCCCGGCCTCCCCGCCTTTCCCCCGCCAACTCGGCACACTCTGATGCGAAATGAAAAAAAAAAAGTTACTGCCGCAGAAACGCATCTGGCGGCAAAGGCCGCACTGCGCGATCCACCCTCCTCCTGACATCGTGGTAGTTAGGATAATTGGAGTGGTTGGGAGTGGTTGGGAGTGGATGGGAGTGCGATTCGACGTACTCGTCTCACTCAGCCTCACTGAGCACTTCCTGGAGCACCATACCGCGGGGTTTTGTATCCTTAATCCACGTCACGCCAACCACACACCTGCGCTGCCCCCTTTCATGCATGGCAAACTTTTAAACGAGTTCTGAAGGGTTCTGTGAGCGTGGGTTATTTTAGCATTTCGAAGCTTTTGAAACTCCCCCTGCTCCCCACTTCTCACTCTGAACACCTATGCCTTTCAGGATTGTGCAGAGCAAAGTTTCCCCTAAACATAAAAACAATGGATTTTATCTGTAGGTTCAGTGTAAAAACCCCCTAAGAAACTTTCCACCACCCCCCATGACCAACATGTACCCATAACTCGATACAAAGTCCCTTGCTATGGAACTGTGCTTGTCTTCCCGCCCGCCGCTCCCGCCCACCCTCCCGCCGCGACCCCGTTCCTGCGCCACGACTTGCACCATTGTGTTGTGGCGGTCTATGGCAGCGCCAAGGCCCGGCGAGCTCGGCTATCTCGGGCACTCCAGGCCCACCCGGTCACTACCGTGGCGCACCCCCCGGGCAGCTGCTGGAGGTGGGGAAGGAAAGGGAAGGGATACGGCGACAGCAAGACGAGCGGTCCCCTTTGGAGAGCCCTCGCGCTGCCAATCAGCACCCGTCGAGCAAGTCTGCCGGGGGAATGAGAGCGTTCCTTTGGGCTGCGCAGGGCGGCGCGCGGAGGGGTAGGAGGAAAGCCCGCGACAACCGTCGAGGCGAGCGCGTGCAAAGAGAACGCGCGGTGCAGGCGCACCCGCACCCTTTGGTTCCGGGGGCGGCCAGCAGCTGCCGCAGGAGCCCCACAGGTTGCTGTTGGCCTGGGTGCCGCGGCAGGGTGGTGGTGGGGGTGGGAGCAGCACCCCCGCGCGGACGTACCCCCGGTCTCACTCGGAACTACCCCACGCCGCGGCGCGCTACCCCGTGACGCGCGCACCAGGGGATGTTGACGTCGGCGAGGTCCCACGTCCTCCTCCTCGTCTTCTTCCTCCTCCTCCTCCTCCTCCTCCTCCTCCTCACCTTCTCGGGGGTGTTGAGCAGCTCGAGCAGCACGGCGACGAACGCCTCGATGGTCATCTGGCCCGCCGCGTACTCCTCCTGGTAGTAGGCCAGCGTGGCGAACTCAGTCTTGGTCAGCACGACGCGGGCCTTCTCCTCCACCATCTGCAGCGCAGGTGAGCGGCCCGAGCCACCGAGGAACCCCCTCCTGCGGACGGACATCAACAAACACATTCTGACAACAAGGAATTTTGAGAAACTTTTTTTACCAAAAAATAAACTTGTTCATAGTTGGTTTGTTTTTGGCTTGTTTGTGTGTAGAGGGTGGCTCACCCAGGACTGTCCCAGGGTCGGGGCGGGGGGTCGCTGCACGAGTGCGGCACCTTGCCGACGTCCCTCACGGTCAGGGTCATCCTCTTGTGCAGCTTGAGCTGCGCCACCGCCTCGTCGTGCGTCACGTCCAGGAAGGACTGGCCGTTCACCTCCAGGATCTGGTCGCCGATCTGAAAAAAGGGAAGAAAGGGGAAAATGTGTCAATTTCGTATTTTTTTCTGTTGTTTTTGCAGTAGGGTTGGAAATTTACAAAATTTTCCGGAAAATTTTCGGAAACTTTCCGAAAATATGCGGAAAATAACGGAAAACTTTCCAAAATTTGAGAAATTTTTCATTTTTTCCCGGAATTTTCCGTCTTTTCCCGAAATTTTCCCGAAATTTTCCGTAAACTTTCCAGAGGGCTTCCAACCCTATTTTTGCAGCCATGCTTACCGCGAGGCCGGCGCGGTCCGCCACCGAGTCCTTGTCGACGCCGGTGATGAACACGCCCAGGTTGTACTCGACGCCGCCGCGGATCATGAGGCCGAGACTCTGCCCCGGCTCGATGCTCAGCTCCACCTGGATATTTGGCGCACACACAAAGCACACGGGACACGAGCCCCAGTCAGCAGCTGGACTCCCAGGAGACCCCACCCCCACCCCCACCCCCCACCGCCTCCGCCCCGAACCTCCGCCCCCCGAGGATTTGTCCGTGCGCCTCGTCGTCGTCGTCGTGACCTTCGCCGCGGCCGGCCGTCCGCACCGACCAGCCCGACCAGACCATCCAATTTTAAACCTTACGACGCTGTCCTCCCCTCGGCCGGGCTGTTGTCGCTCGCGTGACAGCAGCAGCGCTGACTCCAGCCAGAGCCCCCTGCATCGGGCGGGCGGACATCGGATGGCCACATCACGGCGTCCGAAAGCTGTGGTGGTGGGAGTGGGATGCCCCCAATCCGCGCGAGCCGTAGCGCTCTCTCTCACTCGCATACTATTCGCCTTTCGGATGCCAAGCACCCAAAGTGCCAGGTGGGCATGTGGGCATCCCCGGTGCTGCTGGGCTCTGCCCGACTAGGAGCGCCCCCTCCGCGCTCGCCCGCATCCTTCGTGCAAGTGCCTGTGCGTCTCCCTCAAGTTGCGATACCGTGTAATACACACACACACACACACACACACACACACAAAAGCACGCTCACACACACGCGCGTAAACACATCACACAACAGAGAAGAGCACACGGTGCACGCAAACAGCTGCTTTACCCGGTGCGCGCGCTGGAGCTGCAGCCGCCGACGGTGGTGCGCGACGCCCTTGCCGGGCTCGTAGACGGCGAACGCCTCGTGGATGTCCTCGTAAGTGGGCTCGTGGCGCTCGTGGCCGCGCTCTTGGCCACGCTCGTGGACGCGCTCGTGCCGGCGCTCGACGCGGGGCCGCGGCCGCGGGGTGGCGACGGGGATGAGCGGCGCGGTGCTGGAGTAGGACTCGGGCGAGCTGAACGAGGTCGTCTCCTCGAGCGGCTGGAAGCCGTACTGCCGCCGCCGTCCCCCGACCACGGTCCGCGGGTACGTCACCACGTCCTGGAGAAGGCCAACCCCGTCCCGCTTGTGTGTGTGTTGTTTGTGGTTGTGGTTGCTGCCGCTACCGGCCCGCCCCGTCCCGCCGCCCGTTCCATGCCGAACCGTTTCTTTCGTACGTACTAACAAGTAGTGCAGAGAGGGAGAGAGAGAGTTTGCACGTGACGCTTTGCATTGACAAACTTCTCCACTAGCAAACGCGTCCTTGCAAAAGTAATTTCTTAAACAAAAAACAAATTCCAGGCGTGGTCTTTTCATATGTAAATAAAAGGATTTAGCCGTGAGTGAGTTTGACTATATTTGCGTCTTGCCTGTCGGGTGTAAGTTACGCCACTCCGACTGGGTCTCTCTTCACACCTGTTACGCCCCTATGTGAGCCGAGAGCGCGAAATGCGAGCAGGGCAAGACTTTTTCTAGATTTGATTTGGTTTTCTATATTTCGATTGGCCAAAACAAAAACAAAAAAGTGGGGTCAACGAGCCAGAGTAGGAACAACAAACCGAAAACAAAAAATAACTCGATAATAATTAATTTTTAAACGGGTGCAACGAGGCAACACAACTAGGGCTAGAAATTTCCTAAAATTTCCGGAAAATTTCTGGAAACTTCCCGAAAATTTTCGGGAGGTAACGAAACACTTCTAACGTCTGTGAAATTCTGCATTTTCATGGATATTTTCCGTTTTTTCTGGAAGTTTTCCTAAAATTATCCGGAAATTTTCCAGGGGTTCCAAGCCTAGACACAACGTGTCGACGGGCGGGCAGGCGTGTTTATAATTATTCACTCAGAAGCTCTGTGACGCTCCAGAGATGTAAATAACGAATGAATGAGAACACAGGTGCGGCGGCCGCGTTGCTCGGGCACCACCACCTCGCCCACCTTGCCCTTTTCCCCGGGCCGCGGCCCCATCATGTTAAACTTGATGAACATGGCGGCGGTGGCGGCTGCGGGGGTTTGCGCGGTCTACGCGGCCCCTGCGGCGCGGGGCATAGGCACTCCGCCGGGCGGCCGCGCCCCGCGGGGAGGGGTCGCCGGCGGTCGCCGGCGAGCGGTCTAGGGCGCGCGCGCCGACGACGGCGACCTCGGGGGCATCGGACTCGCGGGTGGCGGCGGCGGCGGCGACGGCGTCGTCGTGGCCTCGAGGGTGGTGGACGCTATAGCAGCGGCCCGTCCGGCGGCCACGCGGTGACTGGCCAGCTGGACGGCCAGGGTCCCCCTCCAGGGTCCCCCTCCAGGGTCCGCCTAGGCGGCGCGGCGCTGACCCGCGGCCGGCGGCGCGACTCGCTCAGGCACGCGGTCGATATATTGGATCATCGTGCGGCAGGCAAGCTCGACCCCCCGGTCCTTCTCCCTCCCCCTCCCCCTCCCCCCCA